TGCAAAGTCTTCAATGACAGATTTGACACTATATTTTGAAATTATTTGAGTAACTCCTAATTATGATTCAGTGATTAAATTCCATAATTCTAGCTGCAACAAAGTAAGGTAAGATTTAGAAGTCTCAAAGACTGTTGGGATAAATTAGTTGTGAGTAATAATTCCTATTCAATGTCCTGTACTAAAATCCTAAAGAACAACAGTACCATGTGGACTGTAATAACAGGTTAGATTGTTAATGTTAAGTAAAGGAGGTGTATAGGGACCTGTGCTGTCAAAAGCAGCACAGGTTGATCACTGTGACCGGTTGATCGAGCATGTTGATCACCATGACAACAATGCAACTTCCATTACTAATACTTAGAGGTAATTAAGAGACAGAAACAGGGCTGATTATTTTTTTCTCAGTAGCATTTTTACTGCCTGTAGTTACTATATACATACCTGTATGAAATGATATGTATATATATTATTTGGCCACTGGTAAAAAGAGAATGTCCCTTTGCCTTGGTGTTCCCCTGTAATAAGATGTCAGCTTGTAGTCTTTGCAATAGCAAAATGTTCATGTGAGGAGGGGAAAACTGAAAATGAAAAATCATTGTTTGTGGCAGGAGGGCCTACCCTTGGATAAGAAAATCCAATCAGAGAATGTAAACAGTGAAAGACACCAAGCAAGTTATCTGTGAAGAGTTACCAGTGTGCAAGGGTGTTGTTTTGGGTGTTGAATTATGCTAAAACCGTCCTTGTTTACCAAACTGCAGGCACACATTCTGCTTCTTGAAGTTGGATGTGATAGATAAGCTAGTGGCTGGTCTGTAAATTTGTGACTAGCAGCCAATCATTTTATACTATAAAAGCCCAGTCTGCTTTCAATGAAGTCAGGTTCTTCTAACATAACCCTTCTTGGGGTGTATGTGTGGAGATTCCTCCCCTGGCTGCGGATGCACTCCAAGGATACTCCTGGAGGTTGAGCAAAAGAGATCTCCCCAAGAGCACTGGTATGGGTGAGTTACATCAAATCTCTACTTAATAACTATTTCTTTTTCTAGCTTTAATATAATTGTGTCAATATAGTGCACTATCATATTTTATACTATACTACTAGTATTTTTAGTTTTTATATTGTGAAGTAAATAATTCTAAGATCTTTTATCTGATCATTTGTAATAATAAATGATTCATTTTATATAAATATTCTCATTTTGCCAAGCATTAAAACCTGCAGGACAAAAGGGGTTCAATCACATCTCTGTAATTCCTTAAATTTAAACCGTTGACATAATCTGAGGCTAAGATTGGATCCAGCCACTCAGTCTCCTCTCTGAGAAGGAGTTTAGAAAGCAAGGTAGTCCTTTCTGCACCTCATGACTCAACAGAAGGGCTTCTTTAATAAATTTTGTCTAAGCCTTCCATTCCAACCTGTGACATGGACAGAACTTTTATCTCCCAAGTACAAGTGTAATACACTAACATGACTACTCTTGAAACATCTTAAAAAGCTACTGGAAATAAAATGCAGAAACCTTTTCCATACAGGGGCCAGTGTTTAGCTTGGCAGAACCTGGGACTTTGGATACAGTTACCTCCATGCAGGTACAACATGAGAACTCAACCAACCTTCAGCACCTTTTGTTAAACTCTTATAGAAAAAACTGTCCCCTCCTTACTAACCACTCTGGTTAATGATGAAAAATGCCATCATTTACAACTTTTTTTACACCTTTTGTCCTCCGAATCAAATGGTGGAAGTCTACAGCAGGAATAATTCAATGTGACAGCTTATCTTTTTGCCCAGTGGGGGTCTTCATTGAAGTGTGGCTACGAAAGCAATTTCCATGTTGATGATGACTGAAGCCTTTATGATTCAGATCCAAACTTATTTAAAAAAAGCAGGAGGATCCCATTATAACACACCATGAGTATGTCCCCATTTCAAAGGAAGTGAAATTGAGATGGTATATAGCACACATGGTACTCAGACTCTTTAAAAGAAAGTCACATAAAAAATGTTATATATAGTGGCATATTGTAATAAAAGTGCTTGTAAACTCTTATTTGCACATGTTAATAAGACAGAAATGAAAATCCAATCAGATCTAAAGCTTGGTATTGTTATTTCTCAGCCAAAGGCTTTGTTTTGAAGTGCAAACTACAGAGAAATAAACTTGACTGTGGGAAAACAACAAACTTGATTACATCTCAATCACTGCAGAAAACAAAGCCAACCCTAAGAAAATTCTTTGAATACTATTCTAATTTCCTATGATTACACAATTGTTACTCTGCTTGCAACACAATCTTCCTGTGATTAAAAAGCATAAATGTAAGACATACAATTTTAATTTATATGAGGATGATACCAGTGTCCAAGGTAGAAGAGAGAAACAGAGTGAGAATACATCTTTTATATAAAGAAGACATACATACATAACCATATCTGAAACACTGTTATTTATGCCAAAATATGTTATGAATACAGATTTTATAAATATAATAAATGTAATATATAATACACTACATATACATATATAAAGCATAACAATATTGTCACATAATGGAAGGCCACTATATATAATATTTTTATGTGGCATATAGCATACGAAATATTTAAATGTATATGATGCGTTATAGAAAGAAATAGCTTCTAAATAGTAACTTTTATATGAAGTTAACTTCCAAAGTAAGCTGCTTGACATACAGGAAGTCTTAAGTCTTATTTTTCATAAATGCATTGTAAAGCTTTGATTCTAATTAACTTACTCTGCAAGTTACTTGTAATTACATAGTAATACATTGTAAAAGCTTAACTTCCCTATAATAACTGAATTATTTCTAATAGAAACTCACATAAGTGGGTTCAATCTTTGGGATCAATACAAACTGCCACATAAGCTTAGATTTATCCACTGGGGGAAAAGCAAAGACTTAATTAGCTGTATCTTCACATTCTTTCTTCCAAGTTAGTTTACATTTCCAAAAAACAAATATTCAAAATAAAACCAAGCAATTCAAACTGCCAAATACTAACCACAGAAGTTCGTTTTAATTTCAGATATGCGTGAAGAGACAGAACAAACTCCATGGCTATGACAGCAGCTTGTCACTTCCTCTTTTCACTATGACTTCAGCCTTCAACAGGGTCATGAGGAGCAGCAATATAAGGTATGCCAGAATATAAATTATGCCAGAATAACCAATATAAGGACATGCCAGAACAACTCAGTGGTACACCACAAAGCATGCTCCTTAACACTGACATTACTCAAGTGGTATACTGGGTCTGTCTGGGATGAAGTTACTAAGTTAATCTTCACAGCAGCCCATGGGTGCTGTGTTTCCCAGCTGCTACCATGTTGGTAACAGACCACTGTTTTGGCTGCTGCTGGGGAGGGCTTACACAACATCAAGGCTTTCTCTTCACACTCTTCCCCATAAAGGCCAGGAGGATGAGGGTGGATAAGAATTTAGATGGCAACGTAGCTGGGGTAGCTGACCCAAACTGACCATTGCAAATCCCATACCGTACAATGTCATGCCCAGCAATAGAAACTCAAGAGAATGGAGGAGGAAGTTTCTCTTCCCAAACAACCATTACACGTGCTGAGGGCCTGCTTCCCAGGGAGCAGCTGGACATTTGCCTGCTGATGCAAAGTAGTGAGTGAATTCCTTTTTTTTTTGTTTGTTTGTTTTGTTTTGTTTTTGTTTTTTTGTTTACATGTGCAGCTTTTGCTTTTCTTATTAAACTGTCATCTTAATCCACAAGTCTTTTCACCTTCCTTCTGGTTTTCTGCGCATCTCCCAGGAGAGGGAAGAGAGCAAAAGTTAGGGTAGGTGTTTGGCTGCTGGTCATGGTCAACTCACCACAACTTGTTTAGTGCAAATGGATGTTTACATTTCAGGAAGAGAAGACATTTGGCAAGACCAAAGCAGTACGTCATACTTCATTTTTTACAATAGCATCTATTTCTTTGAGAGTCTCCTAGTGTACAGTAGGAAATGAAAAGCATATGCACTTCTTTACCAAGCAGATATTTGCTGATGATATCCAGTTACTCAGCTTGTGGAATCTTCATCCTTGGAGATATTCAGAAGTCAATTCAGGGCATGGCCCTGAGTAACCTGATTTAGCTTTGAAGTTGGCCCTGCATTGAATGGGGTTTGGACCACATGAATTCCAGTAGGTGCCTTTTACCTGAATTATTCTAGGGTTCTATGATCTTGTACTCTTTGCTTCTTTCATAGCTGTATTTAAAAAAGCTATTTTCAGATTTTCAGCTGAATGGGTTTAATATACAAGTAATTTTCATGATAAGCCATGTTGCCTGCATTCAGGAGTTGGGCTACTTGTTCTTTCCCTGTCTTTCCTAGTATTTTCTTTTTTTGCCAACAAAAAACTATTAATCAGAAGCAACATAAATAAAAACACATAAGTGGATGAAAAGGTAGGGCTCAGAGGAAAAGGCTGCACTAATTCTGAATTACTCTTCTCAGTTTGGAAAAAAACCAACAAACAAGCAAACCCAGTAAGCAATATTTTAATAAAGTTTGAGCATTTATTACATGCACAGATATGCAAACATGTGGGCCTGCTTTAGTTCTCTGAGGAATTCAGCGAATCCAGAAGGCACTGAAGCCAGGAAGCACAACTTCTAGTTGCAAAAAGATCTCCATAACACTCTAAGAAACAGACAAAATTCCTCTATTCAAGGCAGCCCTATTATTGATCTGTAGGATGAATCTGACTTACAAGAACTTTTCACCTCCTCCTCTGCCTGTGAGTGGGGAGATTTGAGACATGTCTTCCACTGCACCCTACACAGTCTACAATTTAAAGCCATCCTCTCCATCACCTAAGCATGGTTCCCACTGCTAAAAAGGTAGGACCACCTTGACATGATCACTGACAGTGTCAGGACCATCTTTTCTGTATCACTGTATATTTTCAGAATATGCAGGACATATCAGTGTACCATACTATGGGTGATCTCTCTGCAACTTACCTGTCAATAATGGCACACATGTCAATGGTGACATTAGCAAAGCTTCCCAGCTGGCCTTGCTCCACCGCGTGCAAATCCACCAGCTGATCATCCACATGAATAAACTGCATGCATCCTTGAAAAGAATGCTGAAGTAGCGAGTGATCTGAGTCATTCATCTGTACAGGAAACCCTGTAGAGCACCAAAATAAAGAGCATTATAAACTGCATATACTATTACTTAAGCCAGGTTTTTTTCATAGGAAAAGAGAGATGTTTTCGAGATGAGGGAAGAAAAAAAGACTATGTGGCAATGATTTATTACACAGTTATTCATTAACATGGAAATATTGTTAAGTAATTGGCAACTACCTGAAAGAATTTATATAGTACAGCTGATGATCAACTAATTTTTGTCTAAAAGGTGGAAGTCTTCTCTTACCCTTCTCCTCCTCCTCCAGTTCTATACTGCTGTTTCTCATTCTTTCTCTCTCACACAAATATTAAGGGAATAGGAAAACGATTTATCTCCTTGTTATATTTTAGGAATCACATTCCAATTTCTCTGATTTTTCTGAATAAAAATATATTCCATGTATACCATGAAGTGAATTTCCAGTTCAGCTTTCTCTAGAACCAGGCTTCCCCTTTTTGTCACTTTGTCTTTTTGTTCATGGGCAATGAACACTTACATTGGAAACTTTCTGTAAACTTGAAAATAGCCCTAAAATCTAATATCCTGGACCACTTCTGAGGAATCTGAGGACATTCTGTAGTATTTTCAGTTTTGCTCTGAATACATTTATTTTCTTGTCTGTTTGAAGGTGGTTTATAAGAGATGAGAATGAATTAGTGTCTTGCTCAGGCTAAAAGGCAAGGAGACAGAGGATGTTTGTATGCAATTGTCTAACTGAATGCCCTTCGGAAGTGAATGTGTCAATTTACTTGAGAAAAATGTCCTCGATAAGACAGTGGAGAGCTTCATTCACTACTTATAAATCTTTAACAATGACCTCCCTGAAAAACCTTCAAGAAAATAATTTAGACAGAATCTGTTCAAGAGGTCCATGAGATCAGGAAGGAAGAGAGAGGGGCTAACAACAATTTATTGGTAAAAAAAGGTAAAAAGTTTGAAAATGCATAATGGTGTAGCAGAGTTCAGCTAGGTAGATGACCAGCCACTCAGTACTTGTCTGTCAAGGGGAAAAAAATCACACACATTTGTTTTGGTAGCTAAGACAGATTATGCAGCTCCCATTCCTTCTCCCACTTTCCCAGCCAACTTGTCTATCTGCAATGCCTTACTACCTTTTCTATACCATTTGTGGAGACAGGAGAATTACAGATTATCAAACCAATACTTTGAACAGCAGCAGGAAAAAAAGGGAATGAACATAATTTTAACTTCCGTTCTTGAACACAGTTTATCACATGTCACACAAACAGTTGAATTGGCTGAAAGGGAGGGCAATAAATAGAGGACAGAAGCAAGCAACTGTGGCTTGAGGACAGATGATGTCTACTTTGGCACTAAAAAACCCCCAAGTTAAACATAAGTCTTTCCCAAAATATAATCAAGTCACATTTTAACTGAAAGGTTTTGCCAAAGCATTCATATAATCAGTAACGCTTTTTAAGGTTTTCTGAAACAAGCTTGCCCATCATCTAAATTTACTGTTGGTGGCTCCTAAATTTCCCCTACTCACTTCAGTAAACATTTACTTCAGAGTTCACTGATGGTGGTACAGAATTAATCAGAGATGCTATAGTAATTAAGCAGTGACAAAGCTAAAAGTTAGCTCTGACAGGTACTTTAAGGAGTTAGGCAAAGGCTTGCCTTGGGGTCATATCACATCTGGAGTAAAATTGCAAGGAGTCATAAACTTCTACGAGGAAGGCAAATATACCCCTCACACTAATACACATCCACTGGAGAAGGAAAGCTCCTAGGAATCCCCCAAATGCCTAACTAGTGCATAATAACCTCATTTTTATTTTGGACTGGCAGAAAAATCAAGTTGTAGGGACATAATTTATCTTGTCTTCCCATCATGTGCACTGACTAGTGACCTATCTGATGAAAAGGGGACAGGGCTTTCAGAAATCTGCCTCCAACTTTTTTCAAGGGTTTTTTTTCCAGTAACTGATTAAACTGTTAAAGACTTTACAGACAACAGTACAGAGAGACAAAAATGCAAGTTAATTCTCTGTTTGGAGGATGCAAGCACAATATTTTCATGTTCCTAATAGATGCTTTCTCCAATTATATTTAAGCAGGTCACTCTTGCAGTATAACTGTCTGTTTTCTAAACTGTCACTGAACGTTCCCCATAACTGCTTCCAAACAAGAATCCCCAAACTAACACCAAGCACATGGCCATTTAGATCTTCAGTGCATCAGCAGAGCTGTGCAGGAAACCTACGTATCATCTTCCAGTTCAGAGCACTTCCATAATTCCTTCATTTTTAATATTAAATTCAAAGTTACCAACACTGGGATAAATTCTTAGCAATGTTCATGTAAACCTAGCAAAGTCAGAGAAATTAGACAGATGTATCTGAATACAATGAAAGATTATCCACCATCCTTCAAACACTAACTGAAAAGTAGATCAAAACCAAGAACCACAATTCACTCTTCACATCATAAAGAGTATGAACTAGATATCTAAGTTACAAATGTATTATCAGCTTTAACAATATATTTAAGCAAATTGCTACTAGTACTTGATACCATTCAAGAACAAACCACAGAGGTATTCCAATATGTGATTCTCAGCTTCACTGCATCTAAGTATCAGTTCTTGGCATACACAATATTAGTGCACAGTTATTATTGCTCTCTAGGGCGCTCTCTGTGCTTTGCTACTGGTGGCAGGAAGGTGGCAGCTGGGTCCCTCAGCCGTGGTGGAGACCCCAGGTCCCTGCATTCACTGACTGGAGAAGGAAAGAGTCGTGGGATGGAGTAGCTGGAGATGGCAGCTGCTCCATACTAACTACATAAATCAAGCTTTCCTCTATTACTGAAGAGAGTAGGGTACACTGAGCATTAGTCATCTTGAGATTCTGATTTTTGCTGTAGCTATCAGTGGATGAAGGCTGTAATTTTCTCATTCGTATGTCTTTGTTTTGCTTGTCTTGCTGCTACTCCATTTGCTGTTTTTCGTCATGTAAGAAAACTGGAAGGGGGTGGGGGAGTTTATGCACTATTACAGCACATTGCATAAATTGTCTGTGAGGCTGACTGGGTGTCAAGGCATTTCAGTCATGCTATACTATAACAGATAATTATGCAGAGATAATTTCAAAAGCAACCAGATAAGCCTTGTATATAAAAACTACACTGGTTTTGAACTACTAGTCTAATGCCCATTAATTTTGGTGGGACCTGAACACTTAAGATAATTCCAGCAATAATCATTTGAGCAACGCTTCTGCCTGAAACATAAACCTCAAAATGACCTAGTACCTTGTGGTTGTTAATTCAATACACACGACAACACCTTCTCCTTCCAGATTTCCATTATTGAGACATGATTCACTTCCTCATCCTTCCCACAGTGAATGAAATTTTAAATAAATGAAGTTCTATAACCAAAGCTGACAGTAATGGTGTCACTAGAAAGGCTAAATAATGAATGAACAATTTGGACAGTACTGTATTGATCTTCTTGTTGACAACAAACTATGTACATTTACAAAATGCACATAAAATGCAGTTTAGACATTTAAAACAATGTTCATGCTTATGATTACAAATGCATTTTAAAGTCAGGTAAACTCTGTTATCCTGTAATTTCTACAGCTTTCTGACTTTTTCCATACAGAATCTGTATCTTACAATTTTATTTTTCACATTTTAAGACCACAAAGAGATGGATTATCCTGCAAAGGTCAGACATGGATTAAATCTGAATTTTCTTGCATTTGATAAAATTTGTATCCAGGACTTCATTCTGACTTACCAAATACAGAACAGTCCAAACTCTTGATCCAGCTCCTGATCCTATTTCAAACTTGCAAGAAAAATCAGAAAATCTATAGTTTTAATTCATGCTCTTTTCTATGTTAGAAGTCTCTTTATATATTAAAATAAAAAAAAAAATCAAACAAATACAGTATAATAAAACACTTCTGAAATTAAAAAAAAATATTCCTTTTCCAGTGTCAAGGTCTATTATGTCTCTCTTCCAATCAGCTGAATAATGTTCTATCAAAGGCATTATAAGAAAGGAAGTTGAAGGAAGAATACGTTCAGGTCCATGGTATAATAATGGAAGAACATACAGTCAGAATATGTCTTTAAACATCTGATTTAAACTACTTGTTTCTGAGATCTGGCCTGAAATGAAAGAATGAAATACCATACCAGGGTCTGAATGTACATTTTGATATTATTTAGTATCCCTATATTAAACACTCAGATTTTCCTTGAAATGTAATGCAAATTTTATTGTAACAAGAAGACAGTTTTTCTTCTGTGGCATTATAAATTTTTTTCTTTTGTTTCATTTGTAAGTTAATGATGGACCAATGCTTGTATAGACATGGTACTTGATATTTTACTTCTTTAAAAGAAAAAATACTCCTCCATAAAAAAAAAAAGTAACTGTTATCTTAGATATCTAACTGGTAGACTATATTGTATTCGGCTAGTTGCATGGGTAGATGCAGGATCTAGTAATCAATAGGAAATAAAGATGAAAATAAACACAACTTAGTGGATTGCAGTAAGGCAAACCAGAATGCGGACTACAATTTTTCTGTTTGTGTTTGGAAGTTACCAACTTCTTGAATAAGTAATTTTCTAATAAATTAATCTTTATTTTGCCTTCATTGTGTTGCATATACAGAAATACAGAGGTTGAATGCAAGGAAGTGCATTCTATCCCAACAAATGCAAATTACTAACCTTAAAAACCCAAATATGTCTCTATACACAAAGAAAAATGGAGTTTACTAATGCTAGAGCTTAGAATAAGATGATGATGTGCTTCTAGCACTCCTGGGACACACATGAGGCCCTAAGTAAAACATGCTAGCATTAATGAAGTCTTCAGTGTACTTCACAGAATCTTCTCTGTACATGTAAATTGTAGTATGATGAAAAAGTTTAACAAAAGTTTAACAAAAGTTTAACCCTTGTATCAAGGGTTGGTTTTGATGGTCTCGGAGGTCTTTTCCAACCCCGTT